TCGTTTTTTGCCTCATTCAAGTGATGATATTTCTGGTTCCGAACAGCCTTCTCTTCTGTAAATTTAGCACACTTTTGGCGTGAAATACAAGACACTTTTCAGAAAAAACTGTTGAAAAAGTAGGTTTTGATAAAAGACTTGGATTAATCTTTGATCCACTTAGTGTACTGCTTGATGGGTTTGAGATGTAATCATGGCATTTGAAAGTACACAGCTTTAGGTGTACCCATCTGTTGTTGAAACATGAGTTTGACTGCAGAATAGCTCTGCTTCCCTTGCCTTCAGATTATATATTGCCTATACATTTTTATCACAGAATGAATCACAGAATAGTTGAGGTTGGCAGGGATCTCTGAAGATCATCTAGTGCAACCCCGTGCTCCATCAGGGTAAACTAGAGCGGGTTGTCCGGGAGTGGACTGCCCATATGTTTTAATTCTTAAGTGCAAATGTGCTAGCTAGGGATGTGGTGACGTTGAAATGTTAGGACTTTTATTTTCCTTTCAGAAAAATAACTCAAATGCTTGTTCAGTTTAACAGCAGTTTTCACAGAGGACAGATTTGGGGGATTTATGGGGGAGGGGGGAAAGGAGGGAGTAGGCAAAAAAAAAAAAAAAAAAAAGGAATAGTTCAAATTCAGTGATTATTTACTGGGTGGATTGTACTTGTTGCATGTTTCTTGATCTATATTCCATTACAGGCTTATTTATTAAAATCCAATTAATTTTCAAGGCAGCGATGTAAGCGGTCTTTGCCTAAAGAAGACTTAAACATTATCGTTCTTGACCTTTTCTGTCCTTGAATTTCAGCTGTAATTGCCTGTTTAGTTGATGCGATCCTGTGTTTCAATCACACTATCTTCTTTTTTTTACATTCTGTAACTTTTAATTAGTTGATCATAATTCTTCCAGGTCTCAGGCTGTGGGATGTTTAATAGCTTTTGACACAAAAAGTGCTGAGAGATTTTTTTCATTGGTAAATTCCTCCTTTGGGGTTTGATGTCTCACTTTCCCCATGCAAGACACACAAGTAGCCTCAGTCAGAAAGTGGCTTTTTCCTGCCAGTGCATTTCAGCAGAATCAGTGAATAACGCAGGAGAATTTTGCAAGGACACAGTACCAAAACCACTGCTTTACCTCACCAGCCTGCAGGCACCATTTTTGTTGTGATCATAATAGATTTCGAGAGATCTCTGCACAAAGGAAGAAAGAGAATGAACAAGGAGAAGTTTATGACTTTCCTCAAAGACATTTCTCTAACTCAAAAGTATAAGCCTTGTGGTTTATACGGTTTTGAAATGTAACCACAGATACTGAGAACTGGAAAAGATTTGATTCACCATCTCCCCCACTTTTGTTACCAGAATCAGGGTGGGGAAAATTTATTTTCATAATTAGAAGTGCAGAAGGCAAACATATCACTGTCAAAATTTTTAGGACAGGGACATATTTGGAGAAACTGTCAGATGAAGTTCATTTGTGCCTTTACAGAGTGGGTGCAGAGATGTGTGTCTCTGAGATCTCTGGTGCTATAATCTTATTTTGGTGAAGCTTTGTTAGATCTTTTATGGTCTACAGCCCCCTTCTTTTGGAGCTGTGAAGGAAGAGGCAGATCAGCATCAGATTAAGTAAGTTCTCTTTGAGCTTGATCTAGGAGCTGAGGGTGCTGGGGACACTTCTCAGACTTTCAGACTTACAGCGTGGTAGACCTGGACATGCTTCTGTTGCTCTTCAGGGGTGCATAGCCAAGAGCAAAGAGGGATGGCATCTGCTACACTGGATTTTTACTCTACTTCGTATGGCCTTGTCCTTGTTTTGTTTTGTTTTGCTTGTGCAGGCTTCGAATGACCCATTTGCTAATAGTTGGGTATCTCTTTGGCATGTAAGAGTCTCTGCAGAATTTAACTTTCCTTTAAAAGTAAAGATTCTGCATGTTCTTGATTTGTGGAATGCAAAGGAATTTTTCTTGCCTTCATGACCTATCCCTTGCTGTTGCAGACACTGTTCTGTAACCCTTTAATACGTGTAGCAAGTTTTGTCTTTGTAATTGCTGTTTCTTGCTCTTATTGCTGTGGCTGGAGACTGTTCCAGGATTTTCCCATTCTGATATTTAGAGACTGTCCTCTGATTTGAGCGCAAATGTTTTTGTGGTTCAGTTATGACTGTTTGGCTTTCAGTCGCTTTGCTTTGTTCTTTCTTCCCTTGTATTTCTTCCTCTCTCCCTCTTATGTTGAGCAATCATCTGCTCTTCAGATTCATTCAGGAAGGCTTGGAAACTCCTTGTAAGGTCCTGTCCTTTCTGCTTGGATGTCCTGGCATTAGTTTCCTGGTGCTTCTTGGTTCTTTCTCAGATGTGGGTGAGCGGGCTCATATCTGGTACTCTAGACGGGAACGTAACAGTAGTATTATTGCTTCAGCAAAGATAGTAACTTCCATTTCTTAGGGTTGCCAGGAAGACCAAGGAGAGACCAGTTTTCCAAAGTGGTTCTGGTTGAGGAAGGAGAGAAGAATTCTTCATTTCTTTTAGTAGGCAAAGAGATGTCAAACTTCATGTTTTTATCTTTTTTCTTTGCTGGAGAGTAGCTAGATACAAAATAATTCCAGATCCAGTGTGAACTCCAGTGTTTTTTCCACTCTGGTGGGACTAGGCAAAAGAATAATGTTGCTTTGTACTCTCATTTATGTTTTGTTCTAGAAGTATCTGCTCTAGCTCCCGATTATTTTGTTATGTTAAGCCTCTGACTGCATTTCACCCTTAGGTACATCCAAGGTTGTCTAAGGTAAAGAAGGAACTGGAGCTGTTGCTGACACTAATGTGAAACAGTCGCTATTTTGATGTTTTCTCTCCTCGTTTTATCCTTGTTTCAGAGAATCAAGGGAGTTGTCTCCTCCTTAAACAGAGACAGAAGAGAGCAAAACACGTTGCCTTTTCTTCAGGTCACCCCAGAAGATGCTGCCTAGTTGCACTCCACACTGAACACTGTTACCCACCCCTTGTTTCCCTCACTTATTTTTGGTGGGGGGGGAAGGTGGTGTTTTATATTTGCCTGTGCTTGCACACTGGCAGTATACTGAGCTATTTAAAATGGACTGGAGAGACAGTTTTCATGCTTCTGTGTATTGAAATAACGAGGAAAAATATCACAGAAGAAAAGGGCATGCTTTGTTGATTCAGGTTGAAAAAGCTTTTTAACAAGTTGAGTTATTGGCTGTATCTGAGGTGAAACACTGCTTTCCTAACTGCTCTCATTTCCTGTATTCCAGATTGTTCGCTGCATTAATTACGGTTCAGATTTACAGTGTATTTAGTTACACACTGGGTTGCATTCTGTTTCTTTTTTTTTCTTTTCTGCATGTGTATAAATTTCTTTGGGAGTCAGGCCAAGTGTAGATGTGCATGCACACACACATGGGCTGAATTTGACTGTTGGTTGTTAATTTTGTGGAATAGGGATCTGGGTATTTTTTTGTTTAGTTGTAAAAAGAGACTTTTCCAAGGAGAGCCAGTAGCTGAGAGCAGCCAGTTTTTTTGGAGAGCTCAAGTTTTCAGAAAAGCCAGAGATGAGAAAATAATATCTTATGACTAGTAAATGTGGCATTTTTAATTTGACCTGTTTCCCAAAGGTTAATAGGTAATGGGGATACTGCCATTCTCCTGGCTCAACCAGTAATCTACTTGCTACTTAAAATATTTTATAAATACTGTGTTTCAGAGCTTAGCTGGATAAGGCTGAGCTTTTCACACTTGAAGTAGCTTTTTGTGACTCGAAATATGAAACGAAGTAGAGTAATAAGTGAAAAACCTAGCATTTTGACATCATCTGTTTAGGAACTGTAGAACGCTGGAGGTGGTTTAAAGGATATTTCTTTTTCAGTTTGACATTTTTCTTTTGGCTTTATGAAACTATAACAGATGCATGAAAGGTATGAGAAATATTTTCTGAGAATTCGTGCAGATTTTTAAATTCAATCTTCACGTTTAAGCTGTTCATACCTCCAAAAGATTTCCGTTCAAAATATTCTGAGAAGTAAATAAGCATGAATTCAATAGAACCAGATAGTAAAAGCATTATTAATTTTAAAATTAAATATGCCTAAACATTCATTTCAGAAATACTGTTTTTATTGGTTAATGAATAATAATAGATAACAAAATAACAACGGCCTGTAAATTTTCAAATAGGTGAAAAGTAAAAGAAAAATTTCCAAGCAACCATGTTCTAAAATATTTGATTTTTTTTTTTTTAGCTTGACCCTAATCACAGCAACTTTTCCTCTTTCCTTCTTCCTTAAACACTGTCCTGCCAGAATCACGTCAAACCCCCAGCATAGCTGGCCCAGTGTGGTCTGGCATTTCCGACCTGCTAGCAAAGTCCTTCTGGCAGTTGCCAAGCATTTGCTCATCTTGCAGCCAAATTTGCCCACTTGCATCTTCTAGCCACAGGCTGGAATGAGGTTATCACTTCAGAACCGTTTCATTAAAATTAGTGGATATTGATAATCCTTTCTAAGCTATGCAGGAAGCTGACTCTTCTAGGACCATTTTGGTTTAATATTAAAAAGGGGGAGATGGGCGGAGAGACTGGTGTTGAGTGTATTTGATGCATGGCAGCAGCATGATTTAGTTGTAAATGCACCAATACAGCTTTTCAGGATTTGCACTCTTGCGGGTGTGGGTGTTTAGTTAAAGCCGCGTATGGATGATGTCTGTTATTTTGTTAGGGTTTCGGAGCGAGGGATTTTAGCACTTTAATCCTGACTGGCAGTTGGAAGGGTGGTGGTTTCAAACACAGTGGCACGGAGTAGCCAGTTTCTCTTCAGCCAAACAATGCACCAGTGTGTCTAGGCTGCCTGCACAGAGCCAATAAATCAGTTTTGTTTTGTTTTTTCTCCCCCTTCTCTCTCTCTCTCTCTCTCTCTCTCTCTCTCTCTCTCTATTTCTCTCTCTCTCTCTCTCTCTCTCTCTATTTCTCTCTATTTCTCTCTTTCCCCCTCCTCCAGGCCAGGACCCACTGCTATTGCTGAAAACCCTTCAGCTTCTCTGGACAAAGAAAGAGATGAAGGTAAGGCTGGGCGGCTGCACCTCCCCTCCATGCTGCAGTTAATAACTACATGCAGAGCATGTCCAGGCGCAGAGCCCATAGGTCAGACCTGCAATTCTTCATGAGTGCTTTCAGTGCCAGTGCACAAGGGAAGGACCTTCAGCTTTGCAGCAAGATGTGAAAAGAAAAGGTAGCTCTGTGTGACATGAAGCAGTTAAGGGGCGCATATAAAAGAGCTGAAGTTTACAGGGGCTGAGTTGCAAAGAAAAAAAATCGAAGATGCTTTTATTTTCTTTTAAACACATTTTTATCTATTAAATGGAATATCTTTGGGGCGAAGGGTATTTCTAGTAGCTAAAAAAGAGAGAGTTGAAGTCAATAGAAGTGCAGTCTTTGCCAAGGGGATTGATATTGAGACCTTTGTGTTCATGACATTTTACTCGCTTTTCTATTTGGTTTGTTTTCGTCTTTTGGAGCAGTGAAAGCAATTCACATTGCCTCGCTAAAATTAATGTTTTATTTTTATACAGGCCCCTAATGGGCTCTGTGTGGAGAACTTGTCATAGGGAGCAAAATATACTTCGTCTAAATTTGGGAGTTTGAAAACTAACAAAAACACTAGACATTGGTTCAGTGTCGAGCTGCTCGTGTTTAACTCTATTTGTACAGGCGGATTAATAGCTGAAATTTTTTTTTTTTTGAAAGACCCAAGAACCTGGAGCCACCAGTACAGCCATGTGGGCTTTATCCAGCGTGCCATGTGAAATGGCAAGTGAGGCTGAGTCCAGTTGTGTACGTGCTCCATCCTAGGTATCTGAAATGTTTAGTCAGTGTCCTTGTCTGGCACATTTAGACTTTCCATTACTGATAGTCTGTGGTTCCCAGCTCAAATAATAAGGCAACTGGAAACACAACATGAGAATTGTCTTTCCAAATGGTCTGTTACTAACATAGACTTGAGCTCAGCAACTGTGAAGCCTTGGGCTTTCTCTCAAGTTTTGTTAGAGTTGAACAAAAAAACATTATTTGTTAGGCCTTGAGGGCAGTTAATTCCACAAAACAACAGTAGGGAAGAATAATCATCAGAATTTCTATGCTGTGTAAACTGGAATGTGTGTGGATTGTGAAGGAAAATACTATGAAAAAGACAGAGCCTCCCATCGGCACATCCTTGGGCAGAGGGCACCGCAGTTCTTTTGCTGAGGGTGGAAAAGCTTGAGGATCACCATGAGTCATGCTTGCAGCTTAGCTTATTATTATTGTTTGCTTCTGGGACTGTCATCCCTGTAAAATGCATGATTTCAGGTGGTATGCCAAAGAGCTCCTGATCATTTTAAGAAGGGCACGCTGACCGTGCACACTGCGGCTTCACAGAGAGGCAAGCTTGGCCTCCTTGGGCCCCCCTTTAGACTACACTGCATGGCTGCAAATGCAGGCAAAACCATGCTTTTGAAACTGGAAGGTGCATTTCTGGACCACTAGGAAAGTCTTTTCAGTGAGATGAGGAGGGATGTAGCGACACTGGATGATGGTGCAGCAGCGGCTGACTCTAAGGCGGGGAGCACAGTGTGGATATTCCCCATGGTTGCTGACACGTGAGATGAACTACTCGGTGTTCAGGGCGTTGCCATCCTTCAGACGTGCAATGCACTCATAGCAATTGCAACCATTTTTGAGGACTGAAACAGGGGAACCTGCCGCCCTAGTCCTCTGAAGGTATTTCAAGGTGTGCAGTGCTGCTGTTGTCCTAAGTAAATCGGTATCTAACCTTCCAGTGACAGGAACTGAAGGAAGTTGACTTAAACACGACTCAGCTTGCTCCATGACGTTTAAATGGCAGCGACCTTCTTTCCCTTTACTCTGCGTGGACGTGAGTGAATATGGTGTATTAACTGGTGTGAATTGATCGTCTCCATTATTTGGCGCCCTTTTGTCTCAAGTCAGTGAACGTGAGCAGGAGGAGGGTTCCTCTGTGTGGCAGGGCCCTGATTCTGGAACATGATTTCAAGAATTGACCATTTTCTATATAGAAAAGACAGTTTTGGAATAGCAAATGTCTGAACTTTGCAACTAGAAATAAAGGGCCAAAATGGCATGAGGTAGTGTGAAGTTTGAGCATCAGCAAAATATTCCTACTCCCATGATCTGTTAGGCTTTGGAAAACCCCCAAGGAGCATGTAAGCCCTGCCATGGGAATCAGTTGAAATGGAAATGCCAATTATATGTTGGAGAGGAATCCTTCACTGACAGAGGGATGAGCCAGGCAACACAACACTCTCTTCTCTCTGATTTAGATGTCTTAAGCACATATTTTTTTCTGAACAGTGCATACCGTTAGCTGAAGCCTTTGGATTGCTAAGAAGTTTTAAAGAAGGTTTTCCCCTGCTTAAAAATCTAAATGATCTGAAATCAAAACTCATTCACGATATGTTGTTACTGCCCTTGCCAGTGCTGTGAGTGTTTGGCGATACTGCGTGTGTGAAAGCAGGCTTGCGTTCTCTCAAGACTCATTGTCTGCTGTAGACCATCCTGCCAAAGCCCAAATTCTGTTTCCAGCTGAAGGAGGAGCCGAGCTGTGCGGTGAAAGCTCTCGTTCAGTCTAAAAGTGCTGAAGTGGGGCTTTGGGGAAGAAAAGAAAGAAGAAGGGAGGCCGTTTATACACAGTGCAATTTACTTGGCCAGTTGCTTTGTTTTCCTTTGACTGTTGTGTTGGATATTTGTGGTTGGATAAGAGCTTGCCTATTCCTTCTGCTGAATCTTGCAGTGAAGTTGGAGCCCTATGTTTAACATCACAATTTCTTGCCACATGGAAAAATACTTAAGAGGGAGAAAACTGTTATCTAAAGTCACATCTTTGTTAGTCATCATCTTTTTCATGCTGCATTTGATAAACGAGCGAGGAAGAAACAGTTTCTCTCATAGACGATAGATTTTGTGGGTTTTTCCCAACATGAAAGAGACTATGAAGAATAAGCATTTTCCAGTAAGTATTTTAGATGAATTAAAAAAAAAAAAAAAAAAGATCATTGGCAAACTTTCTCTAGATTTTCCTTTGTCTTCCATGTCGTTCTTCAAACTGTATGGTGCTTCCATTGGAAGTTGCAACTGGAACCATCATATACAGTAAATTACAAGCGCTGGCTGCAAGCAAGAACGAGCATCTTTTGGATTTTGCTTTTTAGCCAGAAAAGAAAGAGAACAGCTGCTCTTAGTGATTTCTTGTTTTCTATCTCTGCTTTTGCCTTGCTCCACGCCAGTGCATGTACCATGTGGTGAAAGGTCCTGTGTGGGTACTGAAGAATGCCACTTGTTCACCCTGCCAACCCTCTGAGCTCCTTGGAAACTACTTCTAATGTAAACGTTATAAAGATATTGCTCAGTACTGCTAATTTATCACTTCTACCAGATGGGTAGTAAGTAGCCTATTAACATTCACAAAGTGAGTGTCCAATTCCTTCACGTTTCTAAACACGTCACCCTGGGATTCCTAAGATTTATGGCGTGGAGTTTTCCCATGTTCCCAAACTCTTAGCACTGCCTTACGCTTTTGCTGAGGTGTGCAGTGTCTGACACAGTGGCAGCAGGTAGTCCACAGCAGATACCTTGCCCGGATGGGTTTGGAGAAAAGAAGAATAGATTTACAATATGGCAATCTGGTGGGTTTTGAGCTCTGATGCTTCAATCTTTTTATACTAGTATGCAAAATCTAAGCTATTTCAATACTCCCAGCTATTCCATTAGGGTGAAGAGCATTTATGCCCTTGTGGCTGAAGTGGGTTTAAGGTCAAATAAGAAGATTGGTGGTACAAGAATGGGGAGGCAATTTTATTTACTTTATTACTTGTAGATCTGTTAGAAGGTAGGTAGGTTTTGAGCTCTGTTATCTACCTTTACTGCCATTTTCTAATAACACCCCTTTCTCCAGCTCACTACTTTTCTCCCCCCTCCCCCAAATCCCAAGCCCCTTTGTCTGCCCCACAGAACAACTTCTCTGTCTTTATGGGATAATTAGTGTGGACAATTGCTGCTTTTCCCATTGGGTTTGAGGTGCAGTGAGCCATGAAGGAATCTGTAATGACATGAAAAGTCACTGGAGGCGCGGATGGTGGCTGAATAGCAACAGTTACCTCTCTGAATGGATTAAATTTAAAAAAATAAAGCTTTGTGTTCAGTTGGGGGAAGGGAGGATTCACTAATCTTTTTGTACATGACAATGTGTTTTTGTATCTCAGCAGCTCAAGGAAGAGATCAGGCGGGGCTTTGCGGGACTGGAGGACCCATTGGCAGGACTCCTGGACATGTTGGAGAACAACAGTGACTGGAAGGGGAAAGGGCATTCCCTTGGGTATTACATCACCAGTGAGTTGCAGCTTTGGATAAAAGAGCATCCTGCTGTTCAACAGGTTAGAAAAAGAGAGAGCAAGAGAGAGCCTGGAGAAAAGGAAGGGCAATTGATTTTTATGTCCCTAAAGTGTTCCTAATTTCACTTCATTCCGTAGTCCAGTGTCTCTTCTGTAGTCTCATACGAGTGCAATGTGACTTGGTGGTGAAGTTCTTACTGTGATGCTGTCATCTGGTGATGTTGGCCTGAAAAATGACATGACATTAAAAGCTGGTGATGCCACAGTACTATTCTGTTTCCCCTCCCAAGCTGGAGTTTCCATCTTTCTGGATCAGACCACTTTGAGCATGGATCTTTCAGTCTTTGCCTGGCTGGACTTTCCCACTGGAACTGACATCCCTGCTGTCAGGGTAAAACCAATTGCAATAATCTACTCTGCATATTCTTCCAGTTCTGCAAATAGAAGTCAGTTACTGTATGATTGCTTAACTCTTGCCATATGATGGGGAGCTTTTATCATTCGGAATGCAGAAAATGGTAATAGTATGACTTTTCAGCAGCTGAATGATTAGCTTTGTAACATTGGGTCTTCCGATTATATGCCCTAATGTTTACCATTCCTTATGCCTTCTTATATTCTGGCCTCCTGTGATTTTTCCCTTTTTCTGTGCTTTGACTTCTGAGCCTTTAGGTATTTCTGTATTTGTGTTGTCTCATTTCCCACTTTTCCAAATGGCTCTTTTTAGATATTGACCTCTATTAAGATTCTCAAAGATCACTGCCACTGTGGTATCTGTGATGTTGCAGTTAAGTGCTACTGGTGCTGAAATTCCTGCATCCTAAGAGAACGATCATGTAGGAACACAGTGATGAATACTTGCATTTGTGTATCTCACTATGACGCTTGTGCTTTTCCTGACCTTGCATCCATGAACAAGCCTGGGAATGAAAATTGAGTTGTTACGCCTGATAGGTGAGATCAGTGTTGAGGGGAGTTGGTGGATTCAAAGACTTTCAGCTGGGAACTAGAGGGGAGAATTTTTAAATAGCTGTGTTAGTAAAAGAGGGCATTTTTCCAGTTTCATGTTTGCCTTTTGTACAAGGCCATATGCCTTTTCCAGAGTTATCCCGCAAACGTTTAATGTTTTCAAATTAGATGCTGCGAAAAAATGTGTATCATATTGTTCTGATTTCTGCATGCAGACTCCATGGGAGTCTGATTTCTCCATGCAGACTCCATTGGAGAGTCCCTTCCCAAGGAACTGGCCTCTTCCACTGTTTAAACACGCTGCATTTTCAACTGCCATTGAATTGTAGCCATCTTTACTAAATCAGTGTTTAATATTTTTTTTTTTTTTTTTTAAAGTCTGGCATGAAGCTGAAGAAGCTGCAGGCCCGTGTATTCAGAATACTAGCCCAGTGCCCAGCTAATCTTCTTGACCCTCTGATTAGCATTTACCAGCTCCATACAGCAGACCGGAACTATTTGCTTGGACATGTCAGTCATCTTTATCACAAGGGCGATTACAAAGAGGTGGGTCATGTCTTTCAAATAAATTTACCTTCCCCGCTCTAGAGTTCTCTGTTAATGTCTGTGTCCATTTTTGGATGCATTTCAATGTAAATTCCGTTTCATCACAGCAGCTGCACACTGTGAACGGTACAGCTTAGCATGGCCTTCTGACGTACATGAGTAGACTGTCTTCAACCTCATTTTTTCTAATGGCTGAGTACAGAATGCTGGTGAATCCTTCCTCCACCTTTTTTGAGACCTTTGAAAGTAATGGGTTAATAGGGTTTAATTTGAAGAATTTAAGAGGATGGTTGTGCACTTCCTTGTGTTCCTTGGCCTTGTGAAGGGATTTTAGTGGGCGGTCACAGACCTGCTGTGGTAACTCCAATCTGCCTACAGCAAGAAAGGATTGGAAAAATCTCTCTGTTCCCAAGCGATTACCCTAACCAGAGGGGCACCTCAGTTCAAGGAGGCCTGAAGCCTCTTAATGCTTGAGGCTCATGTCCAAAATGTGTGAGTGTTAGAACTCATGCATTTGAATCTGACTGACTGACACTGGCAGGAGTTCACCAAAACCCAAATTTGATATTTTACCCTGTGGCTTAGAGTATTCCCAGCATCTCTGACATCACTGTGATGTCTTGATATCCTTGAGAGTGTTCTCATGAGCAAAACACACTACTAATATTTTAAAAAACAAGTCTTAAAGGGAGATTATTCACTTTGTGTAAAACAACCTGATCTTATTTAAAATTAAAAAAAAGAATTTTTTAAAATCTTATTCTTCAGTAAAACATAATTCTCAAGAGAGAGCTCTGAATTCCTTTCTCGGTGATTTCTGAATGCAGAACCAAGGATAATTCATATTTGATTAGAAGTTCACAGAGCTACTTGTGACTTGTTTTTAAGTCAGTAAGTCTTTGAGTGTGAGTGCTTGAAAATACTAACAGAAGCTTAGTATTTGACTATATTTAAGTGTGATTTTTGAATTCACGGCTCCACAAATATTTGTTTTTGTCTTTGAGAAGTGCAGTTCTAGAAAGAAGGTCTAGTTTTGGAAAGCTCTCAATTTTTTGGTGGAATTGTTTTTGTTGTTCTTTCCTTCCACAGAAAAGCTCGTTTGCTTGTTACTCGCAGTGTGAAGCACAGGAAACCTCAACTGGCAAAAATCCTTAGCCGTAACTTTCTTCTAGTTATGTTGCTACCAGAAGGGTGAATAGAGTTGTCTTTAAGAATGACAGTCACGCAGCAGGAAATCTTTTATTCCCATTGGGACAGATCATACCTAACTAAACCCAAAAACCTGGAACTAAACTAAACCTGCAACTAGGGCGTTGAGCATTTGCAACAGGGTGTAGCCTGTAAACTAGATTCAAATGTGAGATTTTTGGCTCTTTTCAATCTCACTCGCAATGACAGAAATCCTTATAAGCTGTTAATGTCATTATTTGTTTTCTGTCCCATTTTCTATATTTACAATAAGGCAGCATAATTTTATTTCCTTTGAAGTATTTTAATGCATTTCATATTGTCAGGTGTGAATCTTAGAGGCCTGTGGCCTAGCTCCATTGGTTAAGGTTCCTTTCCCTCACAAAGGTTTTGGAGAAAGGTCTCTCTGGAAAATGAGATCCCAGAGATTCCTAGGGACTGACATGGTTATTATTCACTTCTAAAGGGCATCTGGCCCTCCCCGTATCCCTTGAACTAGTCAAAAGCTGAACCAAGTGTTTAATCAGAACAGCAAGAAGTTTTACAGCTGAGCAAAGCTGCTTCTTGTGGTTCATGAATGTTGATATACTACTGTAAGTAGCAATAGACCCTCCACATACCAGGGTGGAAATTTCATGGGGATGACCATTCATAACTGGCAGATAAATAAATAAAAATGTAAAGACGGTGCCACGTCTTTTGGAAGATGATACAGGTATTGGTACCTTCCTACTTTGGTTTACTAGCCTAAATAGTAGCTATGTTCTGGGAGGCACCTGAAAGAGATGATGGATATGGTTAGCTGGCCAGTGGATGGCACTATTGCTCCCATGACACAGCATGAGCTGATAAAGTAACAGTTAAAGAAAAAGGCAAAGACACAGAAGTGTTTTTGGAGGTGTCTGGCGTTTTTGTGGGTTGTATCTATTCTTTTGTAAATGGGGGTTTGTTGCAGCTGCTGGAGGAATATGATGTGGGGCCTTGCACAGTGCTCTAAAGCTGCGAAAAGGGCTTCCGAGCCGGCTCCTGTTGCATGTCCTGTGTAAGACGTGAATTCCTATTTTACAAGAGTATCCACACAAAAGGGTCTTAAAATTCCAGCTTACATAGTTTCAGCTGAAATGCTTGCAGCTTATTTCTTTTTCAGCGCACAACTGCTCTCTTCAGTTAGGCGCAGTAGCAAGACGGGTCCAGTAATCCTCCAACACCTGGAACGAAGCCGGCAGCACTTGCTGAATTCAACCCTGTGCCGGCCTCGGCCTCAGCCCGGCCGAAACACGGCACGCACCATGCGTCGGGCAGTGCTCGGAGCCCCTGACGGCATTGTCGCCTTTCGCAGGCCTTCCCGTGGACGCGCTGCTTCGCCAACGGCTTTGTGGGAAGCAAGATGGCCGTGGTGGGGCCGGAACAATGCGGGGATTCAGCAGACCGCGGGTAATACAGTGCCATGCGAGTCTGTGAAGAGGCCCTGAATAGGCCAGGCTGTGCTTTAGAAGAATGAGGGGTAGGCAGAAGGCAAGCTAGTGTTTCATGGTCATCTTATGTTACACTTCAGCCTTTCAAAGAGTGTCTGGGGCTGCTTGAATGAACCTCTCTTGCACTCCGAATGCAGGAATCTGAAGACAAAGGAGACTCTTGTCACTCGCAGGCCCCTTTCGGGAATAAAAGCCATTGTCACATGAACAGGGGCAGTCTGGCAGGCTGTGCATGCTTCAGTGCCCCATGATATCGCTAAGTCTCAGCAGAAATCACATTCAGGGCCCTGTCAGCTTTGATTAGCGGGGTCTCATGACTTAATGTGCTGCGATATTTCATGTCTAAGGGTGGCGGCTGTCTTTCTGTGGAATGAATGCCCTCTATTGTCCACTGAGTTATTTTATTTACATTTTTTTAAACAGCTTATAAAGGTAAAAAGATAGCTGTGCTTAAAAAAAAAAATCAAATTCCTTTGCTTCTGGATCAGTAGTAAGTGCTGCTTGGGTCAGATACAGTGAAACTTGTTTTCACAGTCAGCATCAAAGTTCTCGTCCTGTTTAACAGCTTTATAGTAAATTCTGAACAGGTGGCAGTGGAGCTGGGTTTAGGAAGGAAACAATAAATAATCTTTTTAGGCTCTGACAACCAGAAATATTCTTTGGGCCTGAGAGAGCTCCCAGTCAGACTTCTCTGCATCAGAGACTAGAAGTGTGTTTTTTCTCCCCTCCATCAGTTTGTTTCTTAAGCTTAGAGCAATAGTCTCCCTTTTAGTGGGAAAGGGAGTATTTAATTTTTAATAAAATCCTTTTTTTGTTCCCTCTCCAGATTTCTCTGTTTTCAAACATGGAATATTTATTCTATTAATGTTTCATCTGCTAATCAGTTTGTTTTATGCAAATAGGGGAAGTTGATTCTATATATTAAATTCTGTTAGCATGTACTCTTTCAAATAAAATAATGTGGATTAAAAGGTTAAGGTGTTAAAATTTGACATAAAATACACTTACATTGGAGTACCTGGAGAAAAAGCTCCGCAGACACAGAATTCAAAGTTTTTGTCAGCAGTGCATAGCAAATAAATTGTAGAAGTAGTTTAATAATTATGTAGGAAGGATGATTGACCCAAAGGTTAAACTTACAGGAATGCAGATATGCTAAGGTCTAGAAATGCATAGTTCAACCACCAACATGACCCTTAAATTTTCACTGTAGTGATGTTTTGCAAGCTGATTTAGGGATGTTATTATTTGTAGTCTTACTTTATGCTAATGGTTGAATACATAACGATATATTTTTGCAGCTGTTGATATAGATCAGTGCTAAGGTTAGTTGATCTCTTAATGGATATTCACATTTTGGGTTTCTTCACTCTGAACTTTTTTGAACTGTTCTCAGGACTGTGAAAATATTTCTGTCATTATTCTGTTATCCCCTGCTCCTCGCCTTAATTACAATATGTTGTTCAATTCATACTGTATTTTAACATTGTGTGTACATTTTGAATTTGCCTGTTTCTTTTAAACTAGAAATAATATTTGATAAGGAAATCAGGGAAAAGTTACGTGGATGTTTCTCAGGTAAAGATGATGTCAGTCTCAACCCTCCCCCCCTCCTTTTTTTTTGTTAACTTAATCTATTGCTGAAGGATAGCTTTCTCAGCACATTGTCTAGAAGATTCATGGTACTTTAGAGCAAATGGTAGCCAAACTACAGACCAGGGAATACTCCATAGCCTGCTCGCAACCACCATCCTTTCTGGAGCCACTTTCTGCTATGGGCATTTGTCTGGTGAAGTTGTATGGAAAGGGGCTTGAGTGTTGCTGGGAAGAAGTAACTCAGAGAGCAGTATGCTGCTTCTGCTGCCAGCTTTTCTGGGCTTTCGTCAAACAAACAGTGGGCCCCTGGAGAAGGGGTGCACATGTGCAGCAGGTCTAGCCGCATAGAGAATCTGAACCTGGTGAAAGTGGGTGGCCGACGTCCACTAGAAATTTGGGCAGCGCTCTAGAGGTTCACTAAAGTTGCAGGGATGCACTGACCAATTAAACCAGGTTTAAAACTGCTTAGAATGACCAGAGGAAGGCAGATCACTCAAGTTTTTGTTCCAGTTCCCTCTTCCTTTCACCTGCATGCACATGTGTTCCAACCTGGACTTTCACTTCTTTCCCCCTACTTCAAATCCTTCTCTACATATACTCATACCTTCCATTAGTTATTTTTGATTATCTCACCCCTTATGAAATTTCTTGAAACAAGTGAACCGGGGAAATCTTATGTTCTGCTCTTTTCTGAAGATCTTCCTGAAGACAGTGTGTATTGTGTGCTGTTTAATTACTTCCTGCTTAAACATATTACCTGATGTCATACACTAAGCGTTGATGCACTCTAAGAGTTTGAGTAAAAGTTGATTAGGCACAAGTTTGAAAGGAGTGAGTCCAAAACAGAAAACAGATGTTCCCTGTGATTAATAAGTGGTGTGCCTTTCAGTCAGTTACTTCTACCATTATTATGCGTCTATACTTTGATCGTCATGATTTTCTGAGAACTGATATTGGATCCCCCCCGCAAGGTCATATTCCCTTGTTTGGTCTGTTATGTAGGTTTCCAGAAATTCCCTCACTGTTGGTTCAGAAATACTACACTAAATGAGGCACAAGCATATTTACCGCTGTGTTGTCTCAACTTGCTTACAGTAGAGCTAAATAATGCAAAAGTCATCAGAAACCATTTGTGTCTGTCCTGCATCATCGCTCCAACCATTGCTACTAGCAAAAGGTTGTTCCTCTGATGCTAACCCCACCGTGGGAAAATTGCCTAAATTGTCAGTGTAGACACCACCCAAGTGCACATGCCCTTACAGATAATATCTTGTGTGGCTTCCTGCACTTTATACTGTATATGGAAAGAGTAGTCATTTTTAGATGACACAGAGCCAAATGCATTCAAAACAAGTGCAGAGGATCAGGTATTGGTGCAGGGTGCTCTGGGCTCATGTGTTTACTTCAAAACAGCCACCACTTTCTCATACTCTTGTTTTTACAATCAACATGACTAGAAGACTGGTCTCCCTTCATAGCAACTGCTCTGTCCCTTGCAGCTTAGAATGCTTCAAGTTTGGGTAGCTTCCCCCATGTTATGGTCAATGCGCTGCCACACGTTTTAGATATAGCTTAACATAGTATTGCCCAACTTCAGAATCTTGAGCTTTGTAGATCCTGGCCATTTGTAAGAGTATGCACTTCTCAAGCTTCAGCTGGATTAAGCAGATATCAGAAAGATGCATTTGCCTTTTGGATGGTGCTTTTGTGATAGCAACTAGTCATGCTGTTGCACTAACTGTGCCTTGAGTATGGGACTCTGCATCCATTCCTCTTTAAGTGTTTATCCTCAGGGCACAAAACAACAAGATGTTGTCCAAACACAATTTTCATTCTCACCACAAGCATAACAGCGACAAACCCAAAGCTCCCTGAAGACAATGAAAAGACTTGCTAACTTTGGGTTGTGAATCAGGCAATGGGTCATCACATTTTTTTTCCTGTACTGAGCTATGGTCTCATAGTGTACCTTCCTCTTGCAGACTAGAGGAATGAAGGCGAGAGAGGGACCAACCTTTCCCATGCTTCTCTTCTGATCAGCTCTGGATCTGGGGCTGGGACAGAAGGGTTTCAGGACAGGTTAAGTGCTTTTGTGTATTATTTCTTTGCTGTTATTAGATTACATTCTAGGAAGTCTCTATGGATGGACTATCTTTTTGCAGAAAAGACTGTACTACCAATCAATCAGGACTGTAATGCATTTTCTTCCATAGTTTGAGGGAGGGTGGACAGACTCTTCTGATAAGATGACAATATGTTCATCAGAGTCCTGAGTAGTAGGTAGGGGTTTTTGCTCTTATTTATCAGTCGGGGAGGCATCTGCTACTTAGGATTCTTACTGCCTGGCTGGTCCAGTGTTAGTCTGAGAATCTGTAATTAGATTAACATGATTGCATTCACTTACCCTGGCTAGTCTTCTGGTGCAGCTTGGGGAATGCAGCCCTGTATATGGGGAAATGCTTGTTTCTTGGGTGGGGAGGGGGGTTCTTATCATTACAGTTAAAGCAGGCTGCCTGCCTGCCTAATTAAAGTGTTTGTTTTCTAACTACAAAATGAGTCTGTGAATGAGGTGTTGCTTTTCTGGAGATCTTATCCTCTATAAACAGACTGTTAAAAATAGGGGCATTTTACACAAAACTTGTTTGTGGAGTGAAACAATTCAAAACATGATAATAACCAAACAAATGTCTTAAAATAGCTTTAAGTTGAGACCACAGAAACAGCTGCCAAACACTTTCATCTTTATTACAGTTACTCATATCTCTTCTTTTTTATTCCCTTTATAAACACATTGATTTTATCTACGTTGTCCTCACTATTCAGCCAGCCAGCCCTTGTAACTACATCCTGCACTTCAGCCTGTTTGTTTGTGTCTCAGGCCCAGGTCGGGCAGCTCCTTCCACAGTTAGCTGTATGCAAGAGGCTGCTGCTCCGCTACTTATGGCGTTCCCCTCTGCAGGAAGTTACTGCCACCATCTGCCAGCATAGAAATTTGTTCGACTGCTCCATCACCTTCTGTTGGATGATGTTAAGTTGGTATGAGCAACCTGTTCCTCTGAATTGCTTGAAGTGGAAGACTGTGTTCATGGCAGAGCACCGTTCCTCTTAACTTGTTGCAGTGGCGGTGGTGTTCAGCGGGTGAGGACTGGATCTGGGAGGTGATGTCTCCCACAGCTTGACTAAATGAATATTCATTGCTCTACACCCTTTAGTGCAGAGTAGAAGTTACCTCTAGTTAAAGAGGTGAACACAGCCTAACACAGCCCATGTTCATCTGATTAAATGACTTGTACTGTTAATAAAGATGGAGATAAAACTAGGCCATTTAGATAACAGTTCTGCAATTAAGTCCATCTGAACATTTACATAAACATTATAAAGTTATTAGAGAAAGCATTGTATGCTTGCATGTTAAAACTAACAAATTACTTGTTTAATACAAGGTACTAATGAGGTCAAATGGTGAAACAAAATTTTTAGAGATGCTAGTCCTTTTTTATTCATCAAACTGAGATAGCTGGGAGGGAAAAAACCCAAAGCTTTCAAGCTTTCAAGCTTTTGGAGTCACAAAGTCTTTCTTCAGGTCAAAAATAGGAGCAGCAACCTTCAACTTGTGTACACCTTGAGAATAATTACTCAACTTGAACTTTATTATGTTAATCAGATAATTTTAAAGCAAAGGTAGTTGCTGCTTGTGAAGCAGAGTAGCTTATTAGCATATAAACAGATGGAATAGTTATCAGGTCTGGAGTGAGAATTTGTTGCAGAGTTAGTTGAGCTGAGAGATTATAAAATGCCTTTCTGTTCAGTATTGGATTTGAAGCGTACAGTCAATTTATTAACGTTAGTTCCTAGGTTTGCCTCTTAAAAGATGTTCTGTTGATTTCTCTTTGGGATGAAGACTAAACGGTCAGTGATGGAGTGTTTGTTTTGTAAGAAATGTTTTCCCACTGATAACTGGGTATTTGTGTCCCCTCTGGTCGCAATGAACTTATAAGGCGTGTGTTGGCAATTTGCTTTTGCACACTCAGTCCTTGGGGCAGTGGATGACATATGCCCATGAATTTCCTAGAAGGTAATAAAATCCATGGATTCTGGTGCTTCTGTTGTGGGTGCTGATAGGATGAGTTGTTAAATGTTGCGTGTGGTGCTCTGGCTGGGTCTGGTTCCCTTCATTGTGGGGGTCTGTGGAATATGGGCTTCCAGTGACAGTATAAACTGAAGTGTCGTGTGTCAGCTAGGAGGGGGATCAGAAAAAATTTGTATCGAGGTATGCTGTTACCCCAAGTTAGGTTATGTTTCTTGTTAAATTTTTCTCTAAGGATTTCACACATGGTGATGCACAACATCAAGGTTTACAGTTGCTTTGTTTTGGGGTACTTTTTGCTGTATTATGTTTGTTCATGTATTCCAATAAGTAACACAATTCTAAAATGTAACTATTTTAAGAAGCATATATGCATTGTACTTGTGATCACTTTTTCTCAAAGCAAAATAAATAGCAGTTATCAGAGAAACCTGCTGAAAAGAGCAGCTTTTCTTCTAAGCGCAGACATCTTGAATAAACAGGCATTTCTGAACTATATTGGTTATATGCTCTATGCCTTATTCTGTTGTTCAGTGTTACAGGCATGCTGCGGCTATCAAACACTAAGTTTACAACCATCTCGGAAAATATAGTCTAACTTTCCTAAGTCATTAGAAGGACACAGTGTAGAGCATCCTTATTCCCTAGTTTACAATTATATCAGTACTAATGCATAAATGCACTAAGATGTTCCTTGCTTATATTACTCCATCTACCAGAACAATATGTTATATTAAAGAAAGCCATTATAGGCTTCTTTTTCTTTTATATTTGAGATCCAAATGCTCTTACACATGACAGAAATTAAAGATATTGCTAACCTCTTAAAATCCCAATTAGTTTGTTTGTGTGCCTCCCAAGCAATACACAGCTTAATCTTAATACCTTTTCGTAATCGCCAAGCTGGAACAGGATAGACAATGGCTGAGCCAGTTCTCCTCGCTGCCTGAGTTCACCACTATTCACCATAGTTGAGTTGCTCATTTGCAAAAGATACTGATTCTGCATTAACTTGTGAATGTAGCAAGTCTTGGCTTATCAAAGACTCGTAGATATTGTAGAGATCTGTTGGCAAAATACATTTCTTACTGTCTTTCTGATTGTGATGGACCTTAGCACTTTCAGAAATTGAGCAGAAATTATAAAAACTAAGGTTTCTTGATTTTAGATTCTCTAAATTTTTAGAGTATTTTTTCCCCACAAAATGAAACTATTTTACAAAATTCAAAAAGACACAGCAAGGTGGGCGTTCAAGTTCATTCAGAAAGGTATGGTGGGTCAGGTATTTTGCAATTGCAACGTTAGAGAAAATTCTTTATTAGCAGTTTTGTCCAAGCATTTTACTTTCTCTCTCTCTGCCAGACAACCTGATCTTTAATTTTTGCCCCACGATCTGCTGCTCCTTGGAATACGTAGTACTGCCAGGAGTGGTTTTGTAGATTTCTAAGTGGGTTGTGTGTGGCCAAATATTTAGGATTTGTGCTTTAGCATATAACAGAAATAATTATCGCGATAAAAATTTGTATAATAACTTTGAAATAATGCCCATTTATCCACTGTGGTGTTTTTTTCCTAAATGCACAACTTTTTTTGTGTTTTCTAGGCAGCGATACTTAGTATTAAGCTAAAATTGCAACCAGATCAAGATGTGGAGAAGGTGAGTCATTTCCTCTGCAGGCTTCTCTGTTATCAGATCCATCTTGTGTTAAGCAGAAGATCTATCATGTCCCTATAAGCTGTGATGATTTCACATGAGGCTTTGTTCATAAGAAGTCACTACAGCATTGCTGATGTAACATTACATCTAGAGAAGTGACACAATGTATTTTGTTAGACCCCCATTGCAGCTTACTAGGCTAGTTTTCTGGATGCAGCCACTGTGATGAAAAATCCCAGGTCTGTTCTTGACAAATAGTTATCACTGTGATAACATTTAATGTAAAACTGCTCATTAGGTCTTGCTTGTGGTCTCCATTCAAAACAACGAATAAAGAGAAATGACAGCTTCGATTATTCTGTTTATTGAGAGGTGGTAAAATATAATCTTGATTAAACTTTGATTAAATAAATGCTGAGGTTGAAACTTTTGCTACTTGGGCTAATATTTGTGTTGAAAATGCCACGTCACTCTCCTAGGCCATACTGTTCGGTGAAGCAAGGGTGTTTTGACTTGCTCTCCATGTTTGACCAGTAGGAGATAGGACAGCCCTGCATCAGCTTTTGGTCCCTGTTCCTGCACATGAGCTGGATGTCATGGACCTCCTCCATGCCTCCTACATGCTTGAAGCACACAGATTGAACATGAGATGGCCATGTTCAAAGGCAGAGCATGGTGTCTTTAATGTTACCCATGCTAGATGTTATTTCTTTTTCTAGATGTGTACACCGCTACTGCTTCAAGATAAAACTAACTTGGTGGAAGCTTACGTGGGAGAATATCCTGAGCTCCAGTGCAAGCTCTTGCAGATCCTGGACACGTGGTGTGAACCCAGTTTTAATATCAAAGACATCTCAAGGTAGAAATGTTTGTTTAAGTTCTGAACAGCTGGGGCCAGCCAGCTGTCAGAAGACAGTGTGTTCTTTTATTGTCTATCTAAGTTCGTTTTCTCAGCATAATGAAGTGCAATATATATATTGTTCAGCTGAGAAAGGGGAAATTCTGGTGTCTGTGCCAAACTCTTTTTCAAAAGCTTCCTCCTGTTAAGACGCTAAGGTATCATTCCTATTGACAGATGTTCAGTTCCTGACAGGAACTGATGACAGGAGAGAGGAGTGCAAAATGAGAGCTCTGCAGTAGATCCTAACAATATAACAATATCAAAGCTCTCTGCAGGAGGTTTTAATAATCTGACTCCTGTGCTTTGCTGCACACAGGGTTAAGTTTCGGTATCGGTTGTACAGGTTTGGCAGGAAGATAATACTGTGATGAAGTGGCAGAAAAACAAGAGATGCAAGTGGTTAACCTTCTCGTGTTCTCGTGAAATGGTCGTGTGCATTTTAATTTTTAAATTGCCTCTCGCTAGAATAGCTTCTGTCCGTCACGAAGCCAAGAGAACAGTCAAACTCACAATGTAGATGCACTGGTTGCAGTCTTTGTTCTGAAAGAACAGCACAGGAAAGTCCGTGCTGGCTTTCTCTTTCTTTAAAGCAAGACTCTACACTTGCTTGTCATAGGCTGGAAAATTTGTATGATTGTATTGTGGGCTTTTTGCTCAAGAATACTCAAGAAAGATAGAGGACTGTTCTTTCCAGCACCTTGCAAAACCTAACATCTCTGCTGCTAAATATCTGCTCTTTAAGAATCATATCTTAGTTGTTTCTACAGGTTTTTTTTTTTTTACTGATTTTGTTTGTTTGCTTACAGACAATACCAAGGCTTGTCCAAATACAAACCAGATAAATTTAACCACAAAATGCTAAGCAAACTGGTCTTCAGGCTCCTAGAACGATTTAACGTAGATCCAGGTATGTGGTATTGCAACATATTCTGGAGTTACCTCTCCAATAAAGAACAGATGAAGTCAATTTGTCTTCTTCCATGTTCAGCAAGGAATCTGTGCTGTAATTTATCATGGGGAGTTTCAAGGTTTAATTAATGGTGTTTAAAAACAAAGCTGGTAAGTTATGGGAATTATCACTTTGTACTGTCGAAGAATGAAGTGCTTGTGACTAATAGACTGCTTCTTCCATGATATGAAATAAATCTTGACCTCAAAATGGCTCTGTATAAACACGATGGTCAATTTTGAGTTATGACTCCATTCCTCTCGCATAAGAGGCAAGTCATTACTCATCTAGGGATCTGTTTTCTTGAGTTATGAGTTCGTCAGTTGAGAAGAGATAACCCTTGGGAAGCAGGAGCCTCACAGCCCTATTTATCCTTTCTGTAAAATAGGGTTGGCGGCAGGGAATTTTAAGGTTCTTGCAGGCTTCTGGAAGAAGTAACCGATTGTACACCATTGAATAGATCTACTTCACTGCCAGTTGCTTGACAAAATCTGCTTTGATTTCGTTAGTTGGGGCTGTTGATCTTTTTTCTTCTATTTGGGACCGTATGTCAGAAGCCTTTAGACAGAGCATTAGGTTTTCCCTTACAAAACTCTCTACGATCAACACAAGATATGCAGTTCTCTTTTCTTGGACTGAAAAATGTTTTCTAACCAAAAAATTAAGTCTTATTACACCTGGCAGCAACACTATATGAATCCTCACATCTTCAGACTGCTGTTCAAAAGTTAATAAGATAATCATTATGAACCGTCCTTGAAGGATATGTGTATATAATTAAACTAAACACATTGATGCGAAAGCTGAGACACAGGGGGTTGATTATTTAAAATCTTAAACCTGCCCAGTGGTTTGCTATTTTCTTCAGTAATTTTCCATGCTATAGAACCTTTGCCATTCAGTAGTCTGTATTGTCCTTTATGATCTATAAAGAGAATTGAATTGTTCTTCCCCTTATCCCATGAGATATCCACCAAGAAGATGATATTAACTGTAGAGGGGAAATGATAAAATTGTTCAGACACAAAATCACCAAAATGTGAAAAGTTAAGAGAGTGAGAAAGAGGCGTATGTGCCTGTTGATCTCAGGTGGTGTATGAGAAAGTGGTATGTGTTACCTGCTGGTGGTGTCCCAGCTGTTCTAGCAGCTGATAATAATGGCAAACTCTCCCTGGACTTCCACAACAAGTTCACTGATGAGAGAGTTCCTTGAGATGAGCAGAACCGGAGTCCTTCCTGCAGGCCGCATTCCCACCTGCACTTCCAAGGAGTAATTTATCCCACACCAAGTGCAGGGTCTACAGTGCAGGATAAGTCACTTGCTAGAGGTGGCTGTCCCCTTCTATGGATGTGAGAGGAAATGTAGGTTGCTAATTTAGACAAGATGCCAGACTTGAGGTGTCTGAACCAAGGTTGGATAAATCTCACACATTCTCTCTTAGATGAAAAGTAGGTATTTATTTTTTACCTGTTATCCCATGTAAGTCAGAGGAGGACTTAATAACTTGCTAAATTGCTGGGCTTCTCAGTCTCCTTTGAAGCCCTTTTGGGAGAGGATGAATGCATACAGAGGCAGTTGGACCTTAAGTTGAGTTGAATTGGGAAATGGTGGCAGCTGGAATAACAGTGACTTTCCTTTCCTCCCCTTTTCTTCTTCCTCTCTTCCTCCCTCCTTCTAGGTGTTCTCTCTCCCTTATTTAGTGGAAGAAAACCTGACTGTGAGGAAAGAGCATATAAAAGAAGCAGGCTAGGTTAAATGTGCAGTTTAAAAAAAACTCAATTCTCTTACTCTGAGCAGCTCCACCAAAAAACAGCGGTGAGGTGGAACTCACACTTCTTGTTACCTAACCTAATTGTGGGCTTGTTCGGTGCCACGGTCTTCTGCTGCTTTCTATCTCCACTTCAGTCATGACTCCTACTCGCTAACGGAGGCTGAGAGCAGCAGCAGAAACGGGAAGTGGCTTTCAGTGAGAAAGGCTGGATGAGGAGGACAGGGTTTCTTGGTATGAGAAGGCAAGCTCATATGTGACTCAATTCTTGCAATTCCAAATCTACTTTCATATTTCGCTAGCCAAAATCTCACTTTTATCTGCCCTCAGAAAATTTCACTGACTCTTAAGCAAGATTTAGGGGTTGACCAGCACTTAAGTTTTGAAGCACTTCTTGGAACCGCCAATCATAAATTTCAGAACCTGACAGGAGGTGATCTGGTATAAAACAGATCTGGAACCTCACAAAAAATAAGCAAACATGTTAGACCGATCCACTACAGTTTCTTCTCAACTATATCCCTGCAAACTGTTAACACACAAAGCTGTGCATGTTAAATGGATGATTCTTCTGCTGAATCCCAGAGGTATCCCCATAAACTCTGTGTGTGTGTGTGTGTGTGTGTGTGTGTATTCCATTTAATTAGCTTTACTGGGAAAGGAAGAAGATGGGCAGAAATGGCATGTGCTTGAGGAAATTCAGTTTTATAGAGTAATTTCTCACACATGGGTCAGTATGCTCCAGTTTAACAAGCCTGTAGCTGTTATAGGCTAATTACTTAATACTCTTTGAAGACCCTATGAGAGGGACTTAGCAGATTTAAAAATGCAAGTTTCAGTCAGAACAGTTCTCAGAAACGAGGGAACAGACCCTAACTAGGTATGAAATAGTTTAGTCTATTTTCTATTGTGTTTTCACACAGCCAATATGCCACAAAGAGCCCAGTGGTGTTTTTTAGTGAAAATTCAGTGAGTATGAGGTGGAAACAGTAGTACTTTGAAAAGTACAACTGACCTCATATATTGGGCCTTAGTTTGTGTGGCAATAAAGCAGGTGGAAGAAGAATGGAGAAGAAATGGTAATTGATTGTATGGTTGAAAGACCTCGATAATTATTCTCCTATAGCAGCAGAATAAAGTAGCTGAGCACCTTACATCCTGAATGCTGTGAATGTTGTTTTACCTTAGCCCTTAATAAGGTTTTTTTAGCATAAACCAAGAGATAGTTTTCTCTCGATTTTGCCACCAGGTTACCTTTTGGTTTAACCATTAATTTAAATTTGGTGCAAATCTTGAATGGACCCCCAGAGTTCATTTGTGTGAGAAAGTGTTATCAGTGCTTTAGTGTTGAGGCAGTAGAGGGCAGACGAGGGCTGCTCAGCAATCTTTGCGTTTGCTCAGGTAAGTCACAACTGTCCTCAGACTTCATCAGGTCTGGAAGAGTTGGGAGCGCATCACAGGACAGTCACTAGGGAGAGCTCCAGCAGGAATGCACAAGGTTCTTTATGTAAAGTGTTTTCAAAATATGTTGTTTTGGAAAGAAATGAATGAGTGTTATAACTATATGGGAATGACTTTGGAAGGAGGATATTTCATTTTTTGTTGTTGTTGTTTTTATTTTTTTCCTTTTTCATTTTAAAACAGAGTAGAAGGTTATTGCTTTCCTTTACATTTGCTTTACAGGCTTTTTTTCCTCTACTTCCATGATGATTTTCCTGCAGAGTTTCTATAGTTTTTTTGTCAAATACCAGCACATTTTTATTTAGTACTGTATGTGAGAAGAACCTCTACACTCAGATATTGGAAAGGAGGAGCCTTCCACTCCTAAGGTTACAAAGTTCGATCCAGTGACTGCAAAGTCAAGCTGCTGAAGGACAAAAAAAGGGATTGAACATGCCAGGGTCCTTCCTTGACCCTTGCCTTGTCAGCTGTATTTTTACCTATTGAAGTACAGATTGTAGATGATCAGCTCTAGACCAAGACAAGCTGGACAGGAGCTCCAAGGTTTCCATCAGAAAAGCTTATGCTGTTCTTGCAGTTCTGAGTGTGAATTCACCATATGCAGACATATGTCTAAAGACCACGCTATAATGTTTTTTCTCCCTTAGACATAGATCTGAACCCTTGTGCCATGCTCTGTCCTTCCTCCATAGGAGGTCAGCTCCAGATAGCAGGGCTAGCAGGCAGCTCAGGAATCTTTGGCCAGTCTGGGGTTTTTGCTGTTTCCCCTTGCCTTCTGAGGACTGCTTACCCTGATCAGTAGTGGCACAGAGCATATTGCGAGAGACAAATGCATCTTAGAGGTTACAACAAAAAGGGTTTTTCTCAAGTCCTTCCCTACCCTCTGCTAACTCACACGTAGGGACTCCTCTCATAATATACTGAGAGACTAATGCATATCTTGCTTCTCATCAGACCCCCCTAAAAGAATCCCTTCAATACCCAGGTAAAAATCAAGGCTCCTTTACTTTGTACAAAGCAGTGATAAAGTATGCTTTGTCTTGGGATCTTCTGTTTTGCCAGGATGGGGTAAAGCAATCTCCTTGTGAATGGAAGTCAGGCCCTCAATGCAACTTTGTGTGTTTATGCCTCATAGAGAGGTCTCCATCCCGACTCAGTTGTGCATGACCTGGGAGTGGTAGTCGAGCACCGTGGTAGTCGAGCACCGCATCTAAAATTGTGTTGCACTGTGTCCCCAGCGGACACGTTTTACCTATGTTACACCAGTGAAATAGTTGTGTATTGCCTGCTTCAGACCCTGAGTGACAAGTAATTTCATTTTTCCTTCCTCTCTGCTTTAACTTTCTACTTAATGGCAGACAGCAAGTGGGAATTTTTACTTCTGAGTCAGTCCCAAATGTGAAACGTAGTTCAGATTAAGAACTGTTGTAGTAGAACTGCTAAGTTCTACTTAAGAATTAACACGTATCCGTAGGGGTATTTACGTAGTATCCTCATAGCACTTGTATTCCACTAGTGCTCCGTAATCCAATCATGATCCCAAAATCCTGTTACACAGACACTAAACAAAAGGATGGTCCTTGTCCTATAGAACGTTGTCTTTTGTTCCAGTAAACAGAACATTTTTCTGTTATTTCTGGTCTATATAAAATATATAACTTGTTCTTAAAGATCTGCAAGGTGGAAAATTTACAACCTCCCATGCAATCACTGCCAGTTCTTCTCTAGCCTTGCCACTAGATTTTTTTTTTAACTCTAAAAGGCCAACTGGAATTTCTAGTGCTATAAATTAGGTCCATTTCTAACTGCTTTATCCACCATGAATGTGTGGAACAGAGTTAGTTCATCCTCAGCTGGCATTTGTGCAATCAGTTATTTCTGCCTGTGTCATACCTACAGGTATCTTTCTTGAACAGCATCTTTTGAAGGGGGTGAGAAGTAATTTATCTACTGTCTCAAGGTGACTTTGAAGTCTAATGCTTGCAGCCCCTCCTTTGTAAGTGTAATAAGTATTATGTCTTCTGTCATTAAACCATTAATGAAAGTATTGCATACCATGTGGGATACAGGATGTACTCTTGTAAGGCCTCACTTAGTATGGCTTTAATTTTGAATGTAAACTACTGATAATTACTCTGAGATTTGTTTTTGAACAGTTCCTTGTCACTCTTTCAGTAATTTCATCTAGGCCATACTTTTTTCCCAGCTTGTTAATGAGAATGTTCATAAGCTCATAGGAGAACTCAGTTTGGAAGGGACCTCAGGTCTCTAGTCTAACCTTCTGCTCCAAGCAGAGGCAGCTCTGAGGTCAGACCAGGTTGCTTGGAGATTTATCTAATGTGATGTTGAAACTTCAAAATATTGCGTTTGACAACATAGAAAACCTAGCTGTAATTAAGATAGGCAACAGCTATTGCTTCATCTTTATTTGGTAGGCTGGTTACTGAGTCGTAGAAGGATATTGGATGGACGCGATTTTTTTTTTTTTTTTTTTTGGGCAATGCAGGTTGGCTGTTACATGTCTCTCTGTTATTTTGTAGGTGCTAATTTATTATTTGCTGCATTTTATTTCCAGAAAATCTTTTCTCCTTTTCCAAATATAGATTATTTGTTTGCACTTCTGCCAGCTTTCTCACCCATGCTTCACACCTTGTCAAAGATGACTCTTATGCAATCACAGATTGATTTCAGGAATGCATATAATGTATCTAAGTGTGCATGCTAACCTCTTCTTTCTTTCTCCAGCCTGAGATGTAATCACTTTGTTCTTTTTTGGTTAGTGCCTCTAGTTAGTCTTTTTCTAACGAGTGGTTGGCAAACGCTTTCCCTGGTCTTCCTTTTTCTACTAATAAATTTTGAGAATGATTTTCTTGCTAGCCTTTATGGCTCTTGATACATGCATCTCATATTTTACTTTGGACTTTCTGAGTTTGTCTTTATATGATTGTGCTGTTATTTTGTGTTTGACCTCGTTGCTACTTTTTGTATACTTCCTTTTGGTGTATGAGGTCAATAAAAGCTTCTGATTTAGCCAAGTTAGTCTCTTACTTCACTTCCTGTTTTTTCATAGCCAGCTCTTCTTAACTCCTTTTCCCCTTATAAATTAATTTTGCATGAAATCTTACTTGCCAATTTTCTGAGTTCATTCAAATCCATTTCATTGTTTCTGTTTTTCTGTTCTTCCTTTCCTAAGAGTTTTGAACTCTTTATTTCGTCTCTTACCAAATTACCTTTCATCCTCACACTTTCAGCTAGGCTTTCTCTGTTTTTTATAACAAAAAAAGCTAGAGTCGTACTCAGTTCTCTTGAGCAGAGAATGTCACAAATGCCTTAATCTTTCTCGTCTGTTTGTATTCCTCTGTCCTGCTTTCTCAACAGATAGCTGGCCATTTAAAATCCCTCAGTTCCTCCAAGTCCTATGCTTTGGACATTTCCTCTAGAGGCTCTCAAAAAGAAGCATTCAGTTGATCTTTTTTTGTGACCTGGAATCATCAAAGCATGCTGACTTGCTTTCTAAAGTGCTTTGAAACCTGTAATTTAGATGGTAACACTATTACATCTTATTTGTATCTTACTCTCTTTCCAAGTATTACTTTCTGTGAGCTGAGGGTCTTTCCTCAGGATGTTCAGATGAGTCAAGTCCTATGTGGGTAAGGATATGTTGTCACAGTATGGAAAATAAGAGCTTAAAGCAGTTCTATTTGAGGTGGGAATGTTCAGGTTACAAAGTGACCCTTCAGGAGACACCAAGAACCTGTAGTAACAAGAGCTACGTTAATTTGTAACCTTTCTGATTCCATCTTTTAGAGCCTGGTATTTGGAGATCTTTTTTTTTTCTTTTTCTTTTTCTTTCTTTCTTTCTTTCTTTCTTCTCTCAGATATTAGTCCTCTAGGCATGCTGTGTGTGAGAGACTAAGAGTTATGCTCTGAGGCCCTTTGAATCAGTAGCACAAATTTCTGTTGGTGTATGCAGATTCAAGGTAAAGTTTCCCTTTACTGTTTTCAGTTACTGTGTCTCATTGCTGGTCCTGCTCCTTCTGGCTGCCAGGTTGTTGATGGTTTCAGCCACTTAAACTCCAATGAAGGGTTTGGTTACATCTTTCCCTATGCATGCATACCAGCATCTGGCAAGAACTGACAGATATGTATGCTAATCTTAATGTATCTTATCTTCTGCATTTATCTCTGGTTGCACTGGATTTCAAAACAACATGCTATATGAACATCTTGATTTTTTGCCATTGTAATGAGGCATATCAAATGAGGATGGCAGTAGTACAAATAATAACAACAACTGTTGCTTGCTAGCTCAGCAAAACAATAGTCACCTCCCTCCGTGAATGGATATAGAATCTCCTTCATGGATACATATTGTTTTATCGGATAAACTTTAGCCACAATGCTGAGCCAAGTTTGAATCCCGGGTAACATGTTCAAAACTGCTTCAGTGAGTTAACAGCGCAGGTTCTATTTAAATCAAAATGAATGCAGCCTGTAGAAACTAGAAGTAGTGCCTGTATGGGGACACAACGTAATTAAAGGTGTGAAGTCGTTAACTGTGAAGCATATTGAACTGACAATTGGATCTTATCATTCAGGGGTAGTAGAACCAGAGATATCAGTAGCTGAGGATTAGCATTGCTAATCATTGTTTAAACTATAAATAACAGTTTAGATAAAATGAGAGTGTGTCTGTCCCTCATTGTTCTAAGTTTGATGGCATCCTGCTTCCATACACTGAGTTTGAAACTGGGGAAGTAAAAATGTAATGTCTAGACAGTAAAAATTCAAGAAGGTTCAGCTATGTTGCAAACTTAAATGTCTCTTTCCTTCTTTTAGCTCTCTGCCCTAATGTCATAAATCAGCGGCACTTGAGAACTCTGAATTATCTCTTCTACAAGAGGTTTGTTGAGGTATGTTTCTATAGTGTGCAACATGAGTGTGAATGATGGTTTTTTGTTTAAATGATATAATTGACATGATAGAAATACATTGATGGTGTGTGACCAAGTTCTTGTCATTATTATTATATAGAAATGCATTGGTTCTGCCATATGATCTCTTCTTTCTGTGAGTGATAATCTGTGTGCCCATTCATATTGTAATGATTGGCAGTCATGATTGCTCCGAGCTAGATGCTTATTCTCCTCAGCATCCTCTAGAGTGATCTGAGACATTTATTTTAGGGATGTAGAGGGGCCAGGGCATGCTCTCCATATGTTCAGTTTTTCTGGGCCATCTCAGCTAAGCAGGTGCATTATTTTTCTAGCATTACTCCAATACTGGATAGAGAAGAGTGTTTTTGTTTTGTTTTGTTTTGTTTTAAACCTGTCTTGTTTTCATCCCAGTTTTAATTGTAACCTGTAGCCCCAACTCTTAAGCATTCCAAATTACTGGGTTCTTTTTAGCTGCTGCTTTGCTTTGGTGCATGTGGCCTGGTTGTCTTTTTAGCATGTTGTCTGACCAGGCAGACTGTCAGTGCAGAGGGCTATTTTCCTTTTTAGCCCCTGGTATTGAAAGCACGTGCTGGTGTTGTCTCCATCCCCCTGTGCTTGTGCTGTTCTGATGTCAAGCTTGTGCTCTTCTAGTGGAGCTGGATTAGTAGATCATGCAGTAAAACTCACATATCCAGAGAAAATTGACTTCCCTATTGATAAGCGTGATGTGATCCATGGTACACTTAGAAATTCAGTAGCACCAGAGCATCCATCAGCAGGGCATGCCAAAGAAGAACGATCATTTCCAGCCTTGATGCTGTAACAGACTTTGACATCATCTTCAGCGGCCATACAAGCTCATAGAATCCACCAGATTTCTTCCTCCTATCCTAGTACAGTCATTCTTATCTTCTAGCCTTCATCTATGCTGCATGACAAAGCAAGACCTTGGTGTGTTGTTCCCCCAGCTCCTTTCTTGGGACCAATAGATTTCACATGGGTAGTCAAGACTGGACTTAAGACCCAGCCTAAAAAAAGTCCAATATAAAGCAAGAAAGAAAAGCAAGATTCAGTGCACCAACCCAAAGTCAGAAGGTCCTATACTATTTTGATGTTGATAAGCCCCAAATCTGCCACAAAAGCTTTTCTTTGCTGAGATAACAGCCTTGTCGCCACTGAGCAAAGTTTATAGCATTTTCAGCTCTTGAATGACTCTCCTCTGAGCTAATTTTACCTGTGTCTGGCCTCCAGGTCTTCTCTTTCCAAATATACTTGTACTCCTCCTCGGACAGTCAGATCTTGGAAGTAGGAAGATACCACTAATGCTTTCTAGGAAGCAGGTTTCTGTCAGTCAGTATTACTGCAGTATTACTTCACAAGATAGCCTGCCTGTGCTTTCCTGTCCCCTCTCAGGAGCATATTGAGCCAAATCACTGCCAATTGGATGCTCTTGTGCACCTTGCATTGGGGAACGCATTTCTCTGGCATCCACCATCATTCTATGCCTGGAGGCAGATTGTCCCAATTCTCATTCTGCCTCCTCTTTTGATAACAGCAGCTTGAAAGTATTGTTTCCAAATGTATTGTTTGGGCTGTGAAGAACAGGCGCGGCAAGAGACTAGGCATAGATAAATGTTTTCATCTATTGAATGCTGAATTATAAAGCCATATCTGCCAAACATGGCCGTGGACTGGTGGTTCACCTGCAGTTCATAGAAGATTTTTTCTCCCTATTTAATTCCTTTCTTGGAGTCTGTGGGGATGGCTGTCTCCATGGGCTAGCTGTTGAGATGAACAGCTTAAGGCCGTACTGCAAATCTTGAGGTAAAGGCAACAGTAATGATTCATGTGTCCCACTGGAGAAGGGCCTGTTACAGCTTGGCACAGCAATGTCCCTGTAAGAGCACAGCGTGAGTTTTGAGGCATTCAGAAATGATACAGCAACTTTGCAGTGTTGTTAAGGTAGATTTTTTTGTTTTTTGGTTTTTTTTTGCAAAGTTGTCCATTACCCAGCTCCAGACAATAATGAGCACTGGAGTAATGCTGGGTAGGGATCTGTGTTGCCTATATGCTTTGATTGCAGATTGACTTTTTGTCTTATGTTCTTTAGTCCAACATTTGTCTGATTTAGTTCATCTAAGCTGTGTTTTTCTGCCATGCCCTGCTTGGTGATATATGAGAAGCTGAGGTTTCCAGTGCATTCCAGAATGCATTCCTCAATCACAATTGATGCCAATGTGCAAGATGATGTGTTAAATTATTGTATTTTCCCTTTTTTAAGATGTCTCAGAAGTAACTTTGTCTTTTCAGAAAAGCATGACTCAGGAGAACTGGACGGATCATGTTCAGGTGAGTACAGACTTTCCTCTCTCATTTTCTCAGGGTTTATTTGCCTGGAGCTTATTTTAAGATTTTCAAAATATCTGACTGATATTATGTTTTTGACTTTGTCATAACTTTGTAAACATACAGCAAAGTTGTGCCTGAGGGGGAGAGCACAGAAGAGAGAATACATTTGAATTCCTGTTACGTATTTAAAAATACTCTAGTTTAGCTGTAGTATTTAGGTAACAGTATCAAATACGTTCTTTTACTTCCATGCACTTACTTAGACGCAAACACTACAAATATTGAGGTTGCTTAATTACAAGGTGGGGAAAAAAGAAATAATCTAAGGCAACTGCCAAGGCCTGTGACTAAATCTAGACAAATGTTAGGTTCCCTCTACATGCTCCACTCTGACAATTTTCAGCAAGTTTATTATATAACTGTTAGATATCTAGACTGCTATGTCTTGTACTGTAATACACAAGTAGTTTTAGTAACACAGGAAGAAAGGTCGCAATATTAATTTTTTTTCTGCCTGAAGTATAAACAGGAGCATTCAGACAGCCATATTTTGGCCTGATACTACAATAAATATGTGTGTGACAATGAAATATTAGGAAATTCCATGGTGACAGACCATTACTCATGATTTATGTATCCATGTCATCCCTATGGAGTTGCAACTTCATAGGGAGTATTTGCTCCATTTCTCTGACTCCTCTCAGTTTGAATTCAGCAGCCATTAAAAATTCCTGTGTCAGCTAGGCTCTCTCTCTGAAATCCTATTTGAATTATCAGTGTGGGCCTTTGAGTGGTAACAGCACAGTCCTAGGACTGGTGATCTCATGCGCTTGAGATCTCGTGCTGTAACCGTATGTAACAGCAAAATGGCTGCGTTGTAG